AATTGCAAAGTAATGTCAAAGAAGGAGAAATATTGATTCCCTGTTTTGATCATTATAACCATATTCATGTATCAAAATATAACATTGTGGGCCCAGAGCAATAGCATAGCGGCTGAATCCTTGCTTTGAACACGCTAGGTTCTCATGTGGACACCGGTTCTAATCCTGGTAGTCCCGTTTCCCATCCAGCTCCCTGCTTGTGGCCTGGGAAAGAAGGTGAGAAAGGCCTAAGACCTTGGGACCCTGGCTCCTGGCTTTGGATCGGCTCAGCTCCAGCCACTGTGGCCACTTGGGGAATGAATCAGCAGACAGAGGATCTTCCTCTCCATCCTTCCTCCTCTCTGTATATCTGCCTTTCCAATAAAAAAAAATCTAAATATTTTTAATTAAAAAATATACAGAAGTGGGGCTTAGTGGAAGATGATTAGGTCATGGGGCTCCACCGTCTGACTGGATGAGCTGTTTTAGGTGGCGGGTCAGACGTGACAGGAGGGGAGTGGTCTTCACCAGGGCATGCCATTATGAAAAGAGCAGGCCCAACTCCTTTCTCTGGTTCTCGTGCCCCTTTCTCGAGGGGCTGGTGCTTTTTCTTTCTCTCCAGCACATTGTAATGCAGTGCGTGGTCCCTCCACAGCATGTTGGCACCAGCCTGGGGGAACCTCCCCGAATCAGAATCTTGACTCACACAGACATCTTTTTATAAGCTACCCAGCTACAGGTAGCTTGTCACAGCAGCGCAAAGAAAAACTAAGACAACATATTTCAAAATATTCATGCTAAGTGATCTCCTAACGTCTTACTGAAACTTCACATGATGGGCTTTATCACTGTCATCCTTTAGAGAACTCTAGTATTTAAAGGTCTCCCCTAGGGCCCGGTGTGGTAGCCTAGCACGTCTTGCATTCACTGGGATCCCATATGACTGCTGCTTCTCATCCCAGAGGCCCCATTTCCCATCCAGCTCCCTGCTTGTGGCCTGGGAAAGCAGTTGAGGATGGCCCAAAGCCTTGGGACCCTGCCCCCGTGTGGGAGGCCTGGAGGTGACTCTGGGCTCCTGGCTTCAGATCAGTGCAGTTCCGGTCATGGTGGCTGCTGGGGAATGAGTCAACAGATGTCTCTCCTCCTCTCTGTATATCTGGCTTTCCAATAAAAAAAAAAAAAAAGTCTGTCCTAGTGACCTAGTGATAAGATAACTTTGCCTTCCTGTGTCTTAGATGGCTTGATTCTGACATCTTATTACGCCTTGTACAACGAAGGACAAGTAAAGAGAACTTTACCTTCCTAAATATTCTCTACTCTGAACATCGTAATAAGTCTTTACACAACATTTGTCCATCATATAAAGACTGCTCCTCTGTGGATGAGCTATGCTGTTCAGTGCTCCGTAGAAGACACTGGTATCAGTTGCCCCACAATCACATTAACACATTATTTTGCCCCTAGTTCAACCTGCCTTGTATGTCTAATTTTTTCCTGGCTTTTATATTTAACCTTCCCTCCCTTTTTCTGCACAGTTGCAGCTAGCTTTCTGGTCATGGGAATAGGACTTCATGTAGATTCTTATTAAATGAGGCCTAGTGCATCGCTCTATAGAGATTTTGTTTATCTTTATCACTAAATTTATTTTCTGTTCCTGCTGGCTCCCTGCTGGCTCCATGTTGGCTATAACGTTTATAAATACTCATTGAATCCTTTCTCAAAATTGTTGAGGAAACACTGGAGCCATAAAAAGGCAAAGGGAGATCACTAGACAGCTTAAACTGTTAACTGTGCCATTTTGTCTTCTTGCTAATGATAAATCTTAATTTGGCATTCCGAAGTTTTCACCAAGGGTTGACACAAGTAGCCATACACAAACGGCTTCTGTGTTTCCCATGAAATTACATTAGGCAATTCAATGTCTCTTTTGTAAAAATCCCATGGGAAATTTTTCTTGGAGCCAGGAGATAGAAAAAAAAATTTTTTCTCCTTATGGTAGCTGAACCGGTATAAGTTTCCTTTTATTTTGAATTCTAAGGAGTAAAGAAAAAAATCAATTATTCACTTGCTATATCTTTTCTTTATTCTTATTTGTCAATTTTCCCTTGTAAGTCCCCCCTTAATATATCTAACACTCCATGTTCATAACTTTGTCTTAGCATATGTTATTATTTCTTTTTACCAGACATAATGACATATGCTTCCTTAATTCTAGATGGATATAAGAGTAAACAAAGAAAATGAAGACATTATTTCAGATATCTGGACAAATGTCTAAAGGACCATGTCATAATTTATTTTTTAAGCAGGACACTTGGGAATATCAAACTGTGTTCTCAGTGCAGAATAGCAGGTTCTGGAAAATCTTCTGTAGTAATCTCAGCAAATAGTGCTTTATATCCACGTCATAAAAAGAAATCATTCCGTCTTTTCATAATCTTTTCCTTTTGTGGCCCTTCTTTTACAGGACCAAAACATTATTATTACAGATGTTTCCACATTTAATAATGCTCCCTGTCCAGAATGACTTTATAATCAAGAGCCTTCTAGACTTGATGTTTGAAGCCAAGAAATGTAGAAATGAATTAACTGCTCTTACCTGTGATTCTGAATAAGTCACTGGGTCATGAAGTTTCTCATTTACAGAAAATTACCTTCTGATGACAAGTATTAGGAATTATTAAAAGCATATAGCTTAGTTTTAAGCACTTTAAAATAGGAGACCTGTGGTATATAGTTTGATTATATGGATATGCAGGATTTTAAGTTCCAATTTTAGGAGCTTGATACGCCGATTTAGAATGGCTGGCCACATTTATATGAGAAAAGCTATACGAGAGTTAACCATTATTTTATTTGCATACCTATTTTAATAAACAAATGACGCTTTTCTAATTAGGGGAAATATGTTAGAGCTTGATTTTCAAAAACTGGCATAACTGGCATGACAAACTGTATTAATTGGTAACTATGTAGGTTTTAAACACATTGGGATGTTAAAATCTTTTGGAAATATTCTCCCTCTTGCTTGAACAGAGTGTAAATATCTCAGGAAGACCCAATGCTTGTGCTAAAGGATTACTGGCTGTAGTTTAACTACCAAAACCTTCTGATTTATAGCTAGAAGTTCAATAAGATTTCTGGTTTATCTGATCTGAATCTAAAGCAATAAAATCCTGGCTCTGGAGTTTGTCTAGTCCACCTCAAAAGGATTTCTTTCCCCAAGGTTCTAACAACAATAGCTGAATGGACAGAAAACTGTGGTTCAATTAGATTTATGAAAGAGCCTGTATGAATTAATGACTGATTTCTCTTTTGATTAAAAAAAAAAAAGTTAAAATGCCTGTATGTATTGTGAAATTTGCATCATATAACTAGCGAAATCAGCTCTGGGGCATGGGCGGCACAAGAAGCTAACCTCACCTACGTCTCCTTATTCAGCAGCCACGGATTCAGCTGCTTTGAACAAGGAAATCTAGGGGGAATAAGGAAGGTATAATCCACAATCCTAATCATTGTTCCAATGCTACCAGCTGCCTCTCAGGTACATTACTAAGTCATCACAAGAAGTTCCATGAGTGATTGCAAAATGACTACAGCTTTGTTCCTGGCAAATGTATGATTAAATAATTGCACTTTAGCTCTCTTGATAGATAGCTCAGAGTCACTCACCTACTAAGTTGATTTTGCATATATTGGTTGCTTGACATAACTATTACATCTTAGAGATTTATTTTTGGGCTGTCTTCCCTATTTTGATTTTCCCAATATATACAAAGAAATATAAGTTCCTACACAAAAGCACAGATTCGTGTGTGGCATAATTGTGTGACCTCTCTAGAGTCCTCAACCAGAAAGTTCAGCTCAGAAATAATTTGTGAAAATATGCTTTGAAAAAGTCCTAGCTAGCTAAAGGTCAATAAAAGTTTATCCCAAAGCATTACTACACAGAAAGAAAGTAAATAAAATGGTCATTTTAAATTTTGAATGCTGAAATGTTGTAACATATTCATGGTTGAAAACAGTGTAAATTAAACAACACTAGAGCTGAATGAATCTTTTTGAATTCTTTAAAACTACTTGTCAGGCTGAAAACAAATAACGAACAAAATTCAAAATATAAATACAGAATATCTCTAACCCATAATTACCCATAAAATGTCACGTTCCAAGTGCATTTTATTTTGGATAATGTGCGCTAAGCATAAAACAGTATGATCACAACTCAAAGTTAGTTTACATGTCAGAAACCCTAACTTCTTAGAGGGAAAACCTTAGGTTAGCAAAAAGGTAGATATTGATATACTCCTATTTACATTTCTGAAATTTATGCTTTTAGGTTATTTACATTTGGTGTAAGTGAAAGTTAGGAAGAGAAAAGGATCTGTCACACGAAGCTTTTCTTTACAACTCATTAGATATGGAGGTCATGGCATCCAAAGATTATGAGACTGTAAAATAGTCATATTTTAACATTGAACTGTTGCATATTCTAATTCTATTTGAAAACAGAAACATGCATGATGATTAGTAATGCCATCTGACTTCTTTTGGTGGAGGGAAAGACAGGCTAAAACCTTTTTGGTCTACTGTGATTATAAAGAATTCTGAACACATCTGTTTTTATTCAGAATGTGCCACTATTATATAAACATAAAGACTATCGTTCCTCTTTAGTTAAAATGAAAGTTCCATTCTGTATAAAAACACTTCTATTCTAAAAACATGAGTAAAAGTAGTATCTTGAATATGAGTTCAATTACAGTGGGAAGACAGGTGGATTCTGCTAGCTGATAATTTCCCAACCAATCACTCACTATTTGTTATAGCTGAGTAATGGGAATGAGACCTAAAAATATAAAATTACAGACAGGTTCAATATTCATTAATGCTTAGGAAGCTGCTTGGATACAGACTTGTGATTTGTTCTTTATCATTTCAACACTTGATTTCAGTTAACATCAGGAAAACAGAGAGAGAGAGAGAACAAACTTAGGAGATTGGTCATTTTATGAACATACCACTCCGTTCACCGAGAGCAGCTGGTCTCCTCTTTTGAGGCCTCCGTGTCTTTCCGCCACCCCTCCGGGAATGATGCGGGAGATATAAATTGGGGAGTTTTGCTCCTTTCCTCCCATCACGTTAAAGCCAAGGCCTTCATCAGTCTTTGGCAGTTCGACTACCCGAGGGTGGGAGTGGCCTTCGCTAGCTGCAAAAGCTGCGACTGTTGCCTGAAAGAAAATACGGTCTTTTGGTGATCAGTCGAGGGCATGAAGCCTAATCCTAGATTTACAGGAAGCAGCACAGGCAACTGTGTACACATTCTAATAGCAATCTCCTGTGAAAGAATAGGAAAGGGAAGACCTGTCTTTGCTTAGATGCCATCTGGGATTTCATTCTGGAGGGAAGCCTCACTCAGCTATTTCTAGATTTCCAGAGGTTATTCATTATTGTGAAAACTCCATCAAAATAGATCCTAATCACACCAGTAAAGTGCAGTTCTTCCTGCTCACAGGCTGCCAGTAGCTAGGGTCTACCTACTACCTACTGTCATAATTATGTTATCATTACATGTTGACTAAAGCCACCTTGAAGGCAGAGGTTGTCATGTCCTTTTTGTGTAGGATACACAGCCAGATTTGGGGCTAGCACGTGCATATTCATTAAAGATTTATTCAGGAAGTTGAACAGCACTTCCAAGATGTTTATATCATTGTGAATGCATATACAGTCTTGCTATTGCCAGCCCACTGGCCTAGCAATTTTACATTTTTTCCCCTCAAACTGAGACTTCAGAAAAGAAGCTGAAAACTAAACTGTACTAATAAATTCAAACATACTATTGTGATTCCATACCAACATTCTGAATTACTGTGGGGTATTCTCTCATTTGGAACAGAATGTTTACCCCCCTTTATTTTCCATCAATATTTCAACTACTGTAGTGACAGAGGCAAAATGAAAACAGTCCAAGGTTTTACGCCTACAGATATAAGGAATCATCATTTCATATGGAATTTATCTTATTTTTAAATCCATAGATTAATTTCTTTAAATAAGTTCCAAAAAAACTTACCATTAGTTCTTATTCCCCATAAAAATAAAACAACAGTATCTTAGTAGCTTCTCTCAAGAGAAGATTGTCTTGCTTGCTTTCCATTTCCATTAGCTGCCTTAACCACAGTTGACTAAATGTCCACTATAAAATGATTTACTCTATGCTGTGAAGATATTGATTCCCAATGACTGTACATTCCTTTTCCACACACGGCATTATCACATCAATTTAGCATTATGCTACTGACTGCATTTAGTGAAAGATAGTGAATGATATGATAATAATGGCTTCTTTTTAGCTGCATGCATTTGCTCATGCAAACCTTGTTGTCATGCATAGGTTTTAATGGCTGACATGGATGCAATGCAGACAGCCCAGAAACAACCAGAAAATATTGTGCTATTGCAACATTATGCTGCTATCCTGCTGTTCTACATGAATAAGAAATGAGAATGGTAAAACATTACATAATTCACTTTCCTCTTAATTAAACCATGTAGGGATCATTTTTTGTGTGTGTGTTTCCACTTCAGTACAAGCAAAGCATGATGTCATGATAATAATGTCCCATCTTTTTTTGTCCTGAGTTAAAAAAAGATAAAAATTCCCAATCTACAGTGTTCAGTTACAAACTAAAAATTCAGGAGTGAAACTAAACAAGAGATGGTGTAACACAAAAGAATTATATTAAGAATTCAGATTATTTTTCACTGGTTCTTACTTCTTATTCATTGTTAGAAGGATAAAAGCCTTTGAAAAGCAAGTTAGGCTTCTACTATAACAGTTCTGTATTTATAAAATAAGAATAGCATCCATGATTTTGGCTTGAAACTATTGTTTCCTAACACTGCCAGAAAACTTCATAGTCCCGTGGTTGTAACATTTTCATTAGTAGGATGCCTGCAGTCTCTAGATTTGAGCTTTTAAAGAGCAAATGTAGACACTAGCACAAAAGGAGACAAGCCTTTATGTGAGCACTGCTTATCTTCTGGCAAGCCACACACTGCTCATCTGAACACAAAAAGGAATTCTTGATCACTGGCTGCCAGTTCATCTCATGTCTAGCCTTAAATCAAGTCGTTAGACCTTTGCAAGCCCATCTTCATGCATGGAGTAGGATGCAGGGCCTTTTGGATGAGAGCAATGTGTCAGAAAACCACGTGGTATTTGAACCGGTAGATTTGCTTGTGCCAAATGGACATTTAGCAAGTTCCATGAAATCATTCTCCTTTCTTAAGCTACAGAAGCAGCAGAAACGTTCAATTTTCCATTAGGATTTTTTACCTGAGAAGTAGTACTGGTTCTAGACTCTGGGCTGCCACTGATGTCTAAATTCTCTTACAGTGTACACACGAGAATACCTGAAACACACACGCGCACAATCAATTACTAGATCACTGGGGTCAAGTATGTTTTTGAAGTTACTCAAGCCTTACCTTTGCAGTGGCTCTTGCACGGAACTCAGGGCAGCCATTAACACTTATCGTTTCATGCATGTACTGATACACCTAAAATGTTCACACAAAAAAGACTGTGTAAGAACATTAAGAACATCTATGGTTTTACTGTAGATATTACTGTAGATATGGTGTAAAGTTTTCTTTTTAGAATAAAAGTTCCTGATCAGAAAAATAAAGTATGTTTTCATCAATTATGCTGATCATTTGGAGCAAGAATACCAAGGGTTTTTTTGAGAGTGGGGAGGGTGTTAAAGTGAAGAAATTATCCATTTCAAGAAACTTGAAATTTGGCTATCTACGTTTACCAACACAAAACCTTAACTTTTTTTAAAGTTCTCATTACATATAGCTGCAGATCTTGAATAAGTAAGTAAAATGATCTCTATATTCCCGTATTGAATATGGTGTCACTTTAAAATAGTTTTGTAGATTAATTTTCCACAAAGTCAGGCTAACTCCTTTTTTCAACACAAATTGCATGGTATCGGAGTGTTTTACTGTAAATGATACATTTCACATCTTTGAATCTTTGTAGGTTAATCTACTTGATGCATGTTACTTTAATATGAGTAGATGAGGAAATCAATGAGTCTTTTAAGTATAGAGCAAAATGCTATTCTGGAACAAAGACAAGTAAAGGATTCCTAGGATGGGTAACTCAGATCAGCACCTCCACATAGGCTCAGGTTAACGTTCAGGTGCAATAGCTAGGATGTGCATGCCCTCTGGACCAGACAGGTTGCTGAGTCAAGGATCTCAGAGCCTTACAGTACAACTAGGGAATTACAGGGCCTTATTTCATTACTCCAACCCTCTCTCTGCCTGTCTGAGAATAGAGAACGAATATTTATTAAGGTTAAATACTTTCAGGACCTCTGGCACCTAAAGGCATGCCTTAAACAGCAGATATTATTAATAATCATGATTTTAGATGAAATTAAAGACTTGTTAAAGCACATTAGATAAAATACTTTCCATCAGACTTTCCAGAGACGCTTTCTGTCAGGGATAAAATAAACTGAAGCATGAGAAGTGTCTCTGAAAGTATAGTTTCCAGATGATATTTGAGAGAAAAAATATTCAAAATGAAACATGCAGGATATGCTCATTTTAGATTTAAGTAATATAATTGTGAAACTCTTTTTCATGATGTGTAGTCCATAGTAATGCATTTGGCCTAATGCTGGAGTTCTCCTTGTGGGAGTGATTGATAAACTATTTCAGTTTAAAAATTGAAAGGAGAACTACAAGGAAGGTGAAGATTTCCAAGACCTCTTCCACTAATCTTTTTTAACTTACTTAAAGTGAAATGTTAATAAAGTGAATTCAAAATTAATTTATTTATCTACTTACGGAATATTTCTGACTGGTTCATTGAGCCTCAGCTACTTTTGTTTGGGTCTCCACCCTTGCGGACTCACCTTTCCCAGATAACATAGTTAGAAAGGAGCAAAGTAGTCTGGACCAGAAAAGCAGCAAAACAACACAGAATCTGCCTTTTAGCTTTGAAACTCCACTAAGCAGATGGAGTCTTCCACTTCTATGGGAAATCTGAATGGGGTCTGTGGGGAGCTGTAGAGAGCCTGCAGCCCACACCCTAGACGGACGGGCGCCGGACTGCTGCTTCCTCCTGTGCTAGTAAAAAACAAGTCACAGGAAGTCTGCTGTGATTGGCCCAGGGGTGCGTGGATGGCACGTGGACAGTGCGTGATCTGTGTGATGATTGGCCTGCCCGCTGCGTGCACAGGTGACCTTTACGTTGATTGGCCAGGTTACCCAATATATAAGGGAGCCAGAGAAACGGGAGAGAGAGAGAGAGGGAGAGAGAGAGAGCACGCTTCGGAGACAGAGAGGGAGGGGGAGAGAGCACGTTTCGCCATGATGTAGCTGCTGCGCGCCTCGCGATGTGGCGGCTGCGCGGCGGCTGCATGGCGGCCGTGCAGCCGCTGCGCACCGGTTTTGCTGTGTCATCTCTACAATAAAGGTTCCACAATGACAACGAGTGTCTGGGTTTGACTTGCTGGCCAAGGGACCCCAACAGGGACAAGGCAATTTTCCAGAAGGGCATTTGTAGAATCAGAAATGTGTCACTGAAACAGGTGCTCAGCCTGTTTCCATAATATTTCCATGAAGGTGTATCATTTTTTTGTACAGGCTTCTTTTCCAAAGATAAATTCGGCTTATTTGCTCTGGTAGTGTACTGAAGAGCTGGGCTTTCCATGATCCGTTTTTCTCATTAATAAACGTCACTTTAGGGCCTGGCACCGGGATGGCCCAAAAGCCTTGGGACTCTGCATCCACATGGGGAACCCGGAAGAGGCTCCTGGTTTCTGGCTTCAGATTGGCTCAGCTGCAACCATTGTGGCCACTTGGGAAGTTAATCAATGGGCGGATCTTTTGTGTCTCTCCTTCCCTTTATATCTGACTTTCCAATAAAAATAAAATAAATCCTAAAAAAAAAAATTAAACTTAACTTTGTCTTGAACCTTTTCCAAAGTGCTACAGTCACGACTCACTTGGGTATCCCTGCTATCTACCCATTACATTGTTGTCACCATCAAGTACCTACTAGCCCATGGTACCACTGTGCTCATGGCTGTCTGCTGCCCTTACAGGATAGGTAGCAAAATCAAATGCCTACAGAAGCCAAGACAACACCCAGCTTTCTCTCTATTCTTACTTTCCTATCTTCTTTCCTTACACTGTTCCCCAAAGATATCAACCTCTATCCACTGTCCAACCTTACACATTCTGTTTATTCTGCTTGGGATGCCCTTCCTTTGTGAAACACACACTTATGCAAATTGAACATGATGAGGCCCAGCTCAAACGGCATCTTTTTTGTCAAACATTCCTGTCCTCCCTCACTGAATGAGTGTCATTCGCTTTGGTGTCTAGCCATCTGAAATTAATTTTGGTTAAATTTTCCAGAGAATATGACTTCTCTTTTCTTATCCAAGGTGGTTTATACAGAAAATAATTTTGCAAATAACTGGGAAGTCATGAAAAGGTAATTTTTAAAATGCCTAGGAAAAATGCATAGTAAGTACTACTGCAAATAAAGAAACATTATCTTTATCGTTCCACTGTGAATGGTGAATGAACAGCAGGCTCTGCTGAGGGCTCAAGTTGTATGGATAATTGCAAAGGCTCTGGAGATGGCATGGGCACCAACACTGAGTGTGCCAAGTACCAGCTCTACAGTGTTGCTCAGTGCCTTGTTTTCTTTTGAGATGATATTTTCTCAGTGGAAAGCACACTTTAACTAAGTAACAAACTTCTGGATCTATTATGAGAACTAAATAAGAAATCCTTATCACATATAGTAAACTTAACAGAAATTAATTATTATTGCTCTTATTTCTTTGTGTTTCAAGATGTATATATTTGAAAGGCAGAATTACATATGTATTACAGCTATTTTTATATCTAAATCTGTGAAGAGAGGTTAGAGAGAGAGAATGAAGACAGAGAAAGGAAAGACAGAAAAAATAGATCTTGCACATGATGGTTGATTGTCCCAGAGGCTGCAGCAGCCAGGGTTAGCCAGGCCTATGTCGAGCCAGGAGCTGCATCCAAGTCTTCCACCTTGGTGCAGGAGCCCAAGTACATAAGCCATCTTCTGCTTCTTTCCCAGGTGCATTAGCAGGAAGATGGATAAGGAGTGGAGCAGCCAGGACTTGAACTGACAATCATAGGGGATGTCAGCCTTGCAGGGGGCAGTATAATCTGATATTCCACAACACAGACCCCTGTTACTGTTATTTAATGGTTCTTATTTGATCACAATATCTTTTGGAAAGAATCCAAAACTAGTGATCTATAGATGTTTTTCATAAAGTCTACGCAGTTCTCAACTGTAGGTGCTTTTGGCAACTAGGAGACACTAGGTAATGTCTGCAGATGTTTCTGAATGTCATAAACAGGGCTGTGCTACTAAACCATCATGGCTAGTGACGAAGCTAAATCTGCCACAGTCTACAGGAAGTTGTTACAAGTGAAGAACTATCAGCAAAAATGTCAGTAGTGCTGAAGTTGAGAAAACCTGACATAGGAATAGAGCTATCTCTTTTCTTCTTACAGGAAGCAATTAGTAAGCCATAAGAATACAATTAAATAAAAGACTAACAGAACTATATTCCTTATGAAGGACTACACTATTGTAGTTAAATGGGGAAAATCTGTCAGGGGGTGGGTGTTTGAGGCGGAATCCCAGCCTATACGAAAATGTACCACATAATTCAGAATTCAAAATAATTCAAAATATATTTTTAAAAAAGGAATACATATATAATGCTGAGTAAGGCATCTTGTAAATATTCAAGAAATAATTGTTAGGATAAATTATGATATTGGCACACATTAATGAGGACTCACCCAGGACAAATATAATGCTGACCATTTTATGTCCATGAGCTCTTTTAATTCTTAACAGCTGATTATACAGGAACTAGAAGGAAATAGAAGCCCAGAGAATGGTACATCCTTGAGTACACAGCTATTTGGTTACAGATCTGGTATTCAGATTTCTATTCATCTGCCTTCAAAATCTTCCTTGTTTTAACCCTATCAGGCTTTCTGATATTGACACAGCATTAAACCACGACTCCTTTGACAGCAAGCAGCCAAACAAAAGCTTACAGATGAATTTATTTATATTTTGAATTCATATCTAGGATTTAGAAAGTGGCTACTATTAAATAATGGGTTGTTGTAAAAGTGCAATTAAATAGGTATGAAATTAGCAAACTCATCAATCTAAACCAAAGTGAAATAATATTTTAATCTCCCATTATGATTATAGTACTGATTCAATGAAATGAATCCAATATTACTGTCAGTCATTTTCTCCCTGTATAAAAAACACAAGAGACTCTTTCGAAAGTGAGCTGTACACAGTCTGGTTATAGACTCAGGTCAAGGCCTGTAGACATTACTTTTATTTCCTTAAGCTGTGTCACCTTATGAACTTCCTTCGCTTCTCATTGCCTAAGGGACAACATGCATCATTACCTTTCAACTTTTCAAGGACACTTATAGAAGTCTTT